AATAATCCCTCTTTCCAATATTAATCATCAACTATACTGTCCATTAAAATTTGCTTCAGCCTGCCGGATTAAAGGTTTTAAGTATGATATTTTCTTTTTATATATTATGACCAGGTGGGTTTCACAGCATCACACAAGCAAATCTGTGGCAAAGCTACAAAAAAAAAAAAAAAAAAGGACCATCTGGCTGTTTTTCCAAATCTGTCTATGATATGGGCAATAAGGGCACAGTTAGAAAAACATCCCACAAATGATCCATGTCAGGAACAGCAGAAGGAACAAATATATAGAATCATATACCTTGGGGCTGTTACAGCAAGTGGTACAATGATAGCAATTACCTGCTGAGAAAGTCCTGGAAAAGGCGCCGTATAGGGAAACCTGCTCTCCGAACTTTCACTGTCTCCAGCATCCCTGAGTACCGGAGCTGATTTAGCACCACATCTGGATTGAAGAGGTTCGGTGCCTACACAATGATCCAGATTAAAAAACAAGTAAGAATTAAGACAGAGTAAGTGTTGATCTTGGTATTACTTCTTTGCTGAACAGTGACTGTTTCTTTGAGCACAGACAGTCACAGGTTGTATATCTGTTTCTCTGTGGAAAGTCAACCCTGTATATTTGGGTATGCCAGGTGAAAAGGGGGGAGTTTGGGTGAAGGGGAAAGCAACCTCACAACACTGTATGGTGCACAAGAAGGGACGAAAGGGAGATGGATAGACCCTGGGAAAAAACAGTCTGCAGATTGCTGTCATAGTCGGATCATGGCAGTAAAGCACTGATATAATGCATTAACACATACAAAATGCAGAACTCTGGCTCAGTTCTCTTTGCAGATTCTCTCCAGTCAAACTGGAGACAAACTGCAGAATTCTTTTCTGGCATAAAACCCCCAGCAGGCTTTCCTCTGCCATATCATACACGGTTTCGAAACACACAAAGAAAATGATCAGTTCAGAGCTCCCCACCCAATCTAGTCAGCAGCATATTCTCCTGTCACAGTTCTCAATACAAGCGAGAGCCAGCCTGTCTCTAAGTACTGTGACTTGCTCATAAAGCATCCACCTTCCTACTGCACAAGCCCTGTATTCCAGAGCAAATTGTCTACAGGCACCACAAACAGGAGCAATTGCTTCTTCTGCCACAGCTCTGGGCTCTGCACAAGTCTAGTTCATCTTCCAGGCACAGAAAGAGGTGGGAATGGCTGTATCATAGCATACTCGGCATGCAGCCTTTTCATCTGATCACCAGGAGAAGGGTGTATTTTTCCTCAACTATAAAAAAACTAGAAGGAAAAAGGGAAGGTCAGGGGGAACTGCTCTTATCTCAGTTTGGACCCTGACAGAGGCGCCCATCAGGCATTTGTGCAAGTGAGCACTTCTGAAGGCCTGTGTCACATGCATACATTTTGCTGGAAGACAGACTTGCCTTTTCTGTATTTGGTTTGATGCAGCGGATGAAGAATGGGTTGGAAGTACTAAGCGTGGCCATCAGAGAATGGAGTGAATCCTAAAAAACAGCAAGACAAAACCCAAAGGATCAGTCACTACAGGAGGGAAGGGGCCTGCATTTGATGCAATAGGGTCTTCATGCCGCCTTCCCATTCCTAATGTCCTTTGATTCTGCCTACCAAAACTTGAATAACCCAGGAGACCCATTCCTGTCCAAAACATACCCACACGGACAGTTTACTCTAACACTGTTTACATGACCATCCTTATTCTCAGAGCTGTATAGCTGATGTGAGTTATTTTTACAAGTGTCTCAAATTTTAAATATAGAATACTAAAACTGTGAAACTAACAGAAGGTTTGCAGACAATCTACAGAGGTAAGATTCATACCTGCAAGGTCCCCCCAATAAGGTTTTACTGGAATTGCCACTATACCTGTAAAAGACATGACCTAAAAGGACATATACACTTAGCTGAAACACCAGACCAACATGAAATATCAAAGAACTTCAAGAACTTCATGTGCTTAGCAAAGTATTTGTTTCCTCTGCCACCCTGCTCAGTCTTAGCATCTCACATTTTACACCAGACAGAAATCCTTGGGGCAGTGGCACTGTCTTTTTTTAGCACTGCAACATTCCTGCACATTTTCAGTGCTGGACACAAAACAAGGATGAATGACTCCTCTTGGCTGCAGGCCTTGCTTTACCCATCTGCTCCTCCTCAGAAGCCTGCTGCTCTCTTGGAAAACTTCCTACCCTGAACTGTGAACTGACAGTCGGTCTGCGCCTCTGGGTGCCCATCTTCAGTGTCTCTTCAGTGCAACGACTGCAGACTCTTTCGAAAAGGTCATAGATGAAGTCCAGCCTAAGCGAGAAGAAAAGAATTAAAGAAGATGCTAGACACCCACCATGAGTGAGAAGATGGCTTTTATTGTCAGCTGCTGCCCTGTCCTAGTGTGAAACACCTAATTTTTATTTTTGCTGTGACACAGAGTGGCTGCAGGAGGCAGTTCAGCTGGGTACTTCAGTGAGGAAATTTATAATACTTTCCATGTGGCTGCCCAGACCCTGTGGGTTGCCTTGTATGCCACATTCGGCTGCAAAGCCAGAAACCCCATCTCACACTGTCAAGCAGGTTATTACACAAAAGAAGATCTCCATTCTGCAATAGCTAGGACACCTCCCTCGAGCTATATGCCCCCAGGTGAAACTACCTTGAAGGTACTCCAGCTAGACTATGTGCTGTCCGCCCTTCCCAACCTAGCTGTCATGGCTAGCATCCATGACATATTCATGCAGTTGCAACCACAGCCCTCCTGTGGCCAGAGGACTTCTAAAGCTACCCTCAGTGTAGGTCAGCTCTGGGGAATCTTCCACCATTTTGCCACTCCTTACACAGTGGTGCTGGTTCTTACGAAGTGGCACAAAGTTCTCCAGCACTTCTTGTGCCAGTTTATTGTTATTAGACTGCTTCTAGCAGAATTTCCCTTTCTGGCTTGTTGAAAAACCCTGAGTCCTTCTATTATGCTGGACAATGACGATCACAGTTCTGGCTTCAAGCCCTGTGTAAAATGTTCCCCAGATGCCACTGTCCAAGTAAGGCAGCTATGAGTAGCTCATACTCTCAGCTCCCTCAGGTTGTTTCGAGGCTGCTCACAGTGCAAGCTCTGCAGCAGGCTTCAGAGAAAATGCAATTCTGAAACAGTTTCATCAGGCTGGAGCACAAAGGCAATACATGGACTGTGGTGAGAGGCATATGGTAGAGTTGCTACTCAAAAATTTATGTTATTAAATGTTAAATGCCTCTCTCTTTCTACTAGGCCCTACCTCTGTCTTCCAGACTTTGCTCAAGGTCAAAGGCAGCCCCTTTCTCTAGGGTCACATTGCAGCACTGGGACATAATATTAGGGGCCATGCCTCGTCCCACAGCGAGGGTTCAGTCTGGCTCAGGATAAGGATGGAAGCTCTCCACTGACAAGCACACTGGAAAACAAGCAGCCTCTGAACAAAGGCTGGCATTTGACAGTATGGCAAAGAGCTTTGACTCATTCCGGGGCAAATTTGCCATTGTTGGGACAGGGAGGTAAGAGGAAGAAGAGGAAAGGGAGGAGAGAGGAGGAAGAAAATTAGCACTGCCTGGAGGGATTTCTTTCATGCTTTTATAGGTCTTTTCAAAACTGGGACAGCAAGAGTGCTGATTAAATCTGTGCCTCATCTGAGTTCTCCAGCTCTCCTTTCTTTTGCCAGGACACTTAAGCACAAAGAGAAGAATGCTAAAGAATGATGCCTGATGCTCAGACAAAAGCAACTGCTTTCCTTAGTCTGGTTTTTAAATGAACGTGGCTTAGTCCAGCCCAATAGATGTGGCCTCCTCACAAGCATAAGGGGGGCCTACCTGCTGTCTTTCAGCATGTTTAAAATGTCATCTCGAAAAGTGTCTCTGTTCTTCTCCAGAAAGCCTCGCACATCATACAGCACCTGCAACGCAGACAGAGCCACTAGAACAGTGCAGTACAAATCATTAAGCACTTCTACATTACCGTGCCAATGTACAAGACCTCCAGCAGAGCTACACAGTAATGCTCCAGGCACATGCCAAGATCCAAACTTTTGGGGTCAAAGAGCTCTAGAGCTCTGCAGTTACTGGCAAGAATGTGGCTTTTAGCCATCAATTAAAAAAAACCCAAACCCAAACCAAAAAACAGGAGCCAAGTGGAACAGCTGTAGAGATTTGCCTGGAGGGTTTGTGTGGGGAAATCCTCTGCAAGGTGTAAGGTACTTCACTTCAGGAAATACTAACTGTGCCATCCAGTGCCCTGACCTCCCAACCACTAGTGCTCAGCAGATATGATTCTAGGAGGAGGTTAGCCCTTCTTTAGTGTGCAGGTGCCCTCCCTTGACACACTTCCATCTGTTCCATATCTCTCCAAAACAAAGAGGAGCATCTAACCATGAAGGCTTGGAAAATTTTTCCTGTTTACAATAGGTATTTAGCCTTTTCTCCTCCTCCTCAAAAGTCAAATTTTCCTTGTGACTTTTACTTTGGTTTGGTTTGTTTGTGAATGTCCAAGAAAAGACAACATGAATAACAGAAATAAGGATGTATCCCCCAACCCAAAAGTTACCTACGAAACTCAAAGAAACATCCAAGCTGGAGAATATAGTACTGGAGAATGATATGCTATTTTAAGGCCATCACATTCCCTGTGCTCTGGTACAGGGCACTAACTGTGCAGAAATACACAGCTCTGAGAGATAGTCATGATTTTTGGAATCTAAAATCCAGGACCTCAAGCCCAAGTGCAAGCACCTCGCACATATACCAAGAATACCTACCTCCCCAGCATAATGTCTTATGCCAAACTGGTGGTCTGTTACCCGAGGCTTCACATAGTAGTGGTTGCTCTGCAATGAAATTTAAAAAAGTCTTCTTATAATGCCAGTGTAAGAATAAATAGGCTTAGTCAGGAACTCTGCCATGACTGTGACAATGCTGGGATGGGCAAGGACCTTAGCTGTTGCAGAGCCTGACCATATCTGCTGCAGTTATCTGCAGCTACATTACAAATACGTTATTCTAATAAGATGGAAAAATCCAGCCCTTCGAGGCATTCCTCATGTGAGCAAGGGCTTACAGAATCAAGGTTGGGCAGGCATGCCATGAATGAAATGTTAATTCTTGTGTGTCTGACACCTGAGGAGACTGGGCTCCACACAAACCATGTGGTGCAGGACACGGGATCAGGATGCAGGGAAGATGGCAGCTTTGCAGAACACCTACACATCTTTTCTTTGTCAAAGGAAATATCATACCAATCTCCTGTCTTCCTCTGTATTTCATCTTTCTTTGCACCTCTCTTCCCCTTTTTCAATATTAATTTTTCCTTTCTCTTGCTAGTTGTTCTCTCTCATTTTTCCCCTCCTTTCTTTATTCTATGAAAACAATTAACTGTGTAAGAACTGCTATGCCACTTGAGACCAACAGTCCATCCAGCTGAGTATTCTGTCTCCAGCAGTGGCTATGTAGGGTAGAGTAAGAACAAGGCAAGTAAATGACACTTTTGTCCTAATACTCTCTCAAACTCCAATTATTTTCATGAGGTCTGCCTAACTAGTAGTCACATGTGTGACTTTTAAACCCATCACATCCACCCTTAGCCATCTTTCATCCACACTGCAGGGTCCCTTCAACATAGTTTTCCATAACACTGAAGCTGTTCCAGACCTGTTGTTTACCAGATCTGATAACCCCTTCCTGAGTGGAGGGGCTCAGTGGTGTACACTGTTCAAGGTGCAGGTGATCCATGAATTGTACAGTACCATAACAATGCTTTCTGCTTTTATTCTGTTGCTTTCCTAGGAATTTCTAATACGGGATCTGGGATTTTTATTACTACTGAGCACTGTGCTGATCTTTCCATGGAACTATCCATCACAGCCTCTGTCTGGGTCTTGCTCCTGAAAAGCGGCAATCAGCTTAGGGCCCATCATTTCAAATGTGAAACTGGGACTGTTTTCCTTCGGGGACACCATTTTACATTTATCTACACTGCTTTTCATCTTCATTTTACAACCCAATCATTCTCATAAGGCCTCTTCTAGTCCAGCCTTGCCCTGTGAATCATTGGAAAACTGCCGCCTCAGTGCTCATATGGGATGAGAGTCTTACAGGGCTCCCTCCATTGAGGCAACTGACCATTTAGATTCTGTGAATTTACCCAACGGTGAAATAAGGGTTACATGCCTATCATTTCCTAGAATACTTACTAAAAATTAAAATAATTTTGCACCTTCCCAGATACAAGAACTAAGAACATTTTAAGTAAGATGTTGCACAATACTGTTAGTAATTCAGCTCTTTCGAGTTCTCTTAGCAGTACTGGGTAGATGACTTCTGGCCCTGATAATTTGTTAGTACTATTGAAAACTTCATTGTCTTTTTTCCTTTTCATATTGACCCCATTTCTTTGCTCTTCCTTTTCCTCAACCCAGTCATCTTTTTCCAGCCACAAACTTCCCTCTCTTCCACTCCAAACATGACTGTAACTAACTTTCTCATTTGGATTGGCACCCTCCTCTCCTTCTCTACCAAGCCCATATATATCATCCACATCTACAACACTTCTGGTTCCTGCTCCCATCTCCCCTATTGCTGCTCTCCCCAGCTGCATCACAGGTCATATTCTCTTAAATCCCAGGTCTACGCTTTTTGTCCTTAAGCCTATTGCAATCCACAGAAAACAGGGCTTGCTCTCTTATAAGGTCCTTCAGGCTTTCCAGCAACACTGGCTGGATGTCTTCTAGACAGCACTAGAGAATTTAACTGGTAGAAAAACCACTTTTGCCTTCATAAAGTGCAAACCCTAGAGCACTATCTACTTCATCATTCCTCCCTGCACTCAACTCCTCAGCCTCTTCCATCTCTGGAAAGCTCCCTAGAGTTCCATGTTAAATGCTATCCTCTCAAAGCAGACAGAGGTGACACTATGAACAGCTTAATGAAAAGGCTACTCAATGCACAGAAATCACCAAAAATAGCAACCAAAATGTTGTGGGGCATAAAGGAATGCAAAATAATACTGACAGTCTCATGCTGCTGTACAATAAACCACAGGTACCTTCTTACCAAGGGAACTGCATTCTGGTCTGATTATTTATCTCAGAAAAGAATAGAGAAAAAATGTAGAGGAATTCAGAGACAAACAGCAAAAAGAAAGAGGAGCTTTGAAATTTATCCATTTGGAGACAAATTGAAGAGGTTAAGACAGTTCAGAAAGAAAATTCAAAAGAAGTGAGGTATTAAAAATATCCAGAAGTTCTATATTAAAAGTTAACAAAATACCAACAACAATAAAAAGGTAAATCAAGCATTCTCATATACGTTGACCTATAATACAAAGGAAAGGCACAGTAGACTAAATTGAAGGCATCAATTTACGCCTAAAGAAAGGAAATATTTCCACAAAACTATGCATACATAGCCAACCTGAAGTCATTGCTATTTATCCAATTTGTAGTCATGAGTATTACTGGCAGAGTTAGATGCAAATATGAAAAATGAGAATATCTCCATTTATGCCAACTAAAAAAAAACTGTTATATATAAAGGATACAAATTTCTATGTTTTCAGGCTTGGATGAAGCCTGAATTAGAGGACTAGGAAACATATTAGCTGACAATGTTCTTACTAAATTAGTAAATTATTCCATAAGTCCCTGGAACAGGGTTTAATTTGCTTGGTTTTCAGTCTATTTACTATTAAGAACAGAGCGTTGGCTGCACCAGAGACAGGGTAGAGATTGCTACAGTGATCTCACTGTGGTTTCTGTGTCCCCAGGATAACTTTCTGACCTGCATGAAAAAAACCCTTCTACTCCTGTGTCCAGAATACAAGAAAGAGGAGGAAAGAATTTAATTAGTTAGGGACAATAAGAGAGCTTTCATTAAAAGTCATGAGGCAAAAGCAGTCCCCAGCCCCAGGAGACAGAGATTTGACATGCTGTGGAGCAGGCTCCTGTGAGTCAGCTGGCACGAGGAACCCATGCACACTGTGCAGCCACATCCTGTGCCTGGGGTGCTGCCTCGTGTCCTGTCGCAGACCAGCAGGACCTGACCTCCATCCCATGTTACAAATTCAAATCTCCTCTACCCACAGCCTGTGGAAGCACGCTCCCTCTATGCACGCAAGAGACTGTTTGCAGGTTTCTTCACGTATTACTTTTGTTCAGTGCAGCCTTATTAAACACTCAGAGGTTTGAGCCTAAGGCATTTTAAATTTCCTGCACAAAGCACATACTTTACTTCAACAAAACCTTCACTTTCAGTTTTGAAATGCTGATGGGACTAACGTACTGATCATTTGCCTGCTGGGTTATTTTCTTACTTACCATATGCTGGCTGTGAAGTTTTTCCAGAAGGGTGTTGTCTGTGCCTTTGGGGAATCGACTCTCTTCATTCACCAAAGCCAGTAGACCCAGTTTCTACAGCCAAACAAGAGACGGGCTTTTACAGTCAGCAGAAGCTCTAACTACACAGCACCAAGCCAAGAACCAGAGATCTGGACAGCACATTGACCAATAACCCTCAAGTTATACCCAGCAAATCTTAAGCTGAAAGCAGAATTCTGGCCAGTCAATGCATTCAGTGAGCAGAACATAAGTGGAGATTATTTATAAAAAGTTCACATTAAGGTTTTACTTTATCACTGCTCCCTGTCTAAAACTATGACACCCTCCCTAAGCTTACTCTCAACAATGAGCAGAGATCTGGTTTCTTGAGCCAGTTCTATGGCTAGAACAGCTTATACTTTTGCCAGGTCACGATGGGAAGACGATCTAAGCAACTACCTCTTTTTAAAACCAGGAAACCCCAGGGAAGGTCTCAAGACAATCAGCAGTCCCTGCTATGATCCCTGGAAACTATCATAGATAACTGCTCACCTTCTCGATAAGGTCCAGGCACTCTGCATTATCCATCCAGTCAATGGCTTCCCAGTTTATCCCTTCCCTGACAGTCAAGAACAAACAGAACAAAGATGTGAAATGCAAGATCCAGTTCCCTAAGGTGCAGGAGAAGAGAAGTAGATGAGTGCAGCAGCTGTCCCAGGACTCAAGATGATATGCAGGAATTAGGCTTTCCCATGGCTGAGGAAAAAAAATAGGACACACAATGCACTGCTAACATGAAAGAACATGGAAGTAGGAGACAGTCTTTCTTATCCATCCCACTGATTTAGACTGATGCTCACCTGGTAGTCATTGAGCAAATTCCACACCAAGCACTAAGAAATTCTACTTGCTCTTTCAGGAGTGATGAGCATCAGCCCAAGCGGTGCGATGATGGACAGTTTGCTACACAGCTTCAAGAGTCAACTGCTGACCCAACAATCTGGAAAGCAGGCCTGAAGCACATCTGCCAGAAAACTGAACCACAATTCATAGGTCCACCAGAAAAACAGACAGGAGCAACTTTTCAGGGAGAGTTTTGAAGAGGATGACTTAGATAAGCTTTGGCCTGACATGCAGGGGACCTACGGGGTGGCCCTGCATCTTTCAGAATGGGAGCTGATGTAGGTACAACAGTGTGACAAGCATGTTTTGAAAACCATCCATTAAATTCTGTAAATCTGTGCTGAATGTGCTTTCCCCTCTCTTGCTGCCTTCTTACACTCCCATAATACAGGCCATTTCTGTTTTCAGAATTCAGAGAAGCCTGGGAATCCAAGGAAGACTACAGGCTGTGTGTGAAGCTACTTACTGACATTCTGATACAGACACCTTTCAGGTGAAGGTTAATGTTTTGAAGATAGTGAAGCTGGTGTCTACAAACCCTTCAGCCTAGGCTTCATACTTTCAGGTTCAAAGCATTCAGAAACCTGTGGGCAACAGCTGGAAACAACAAAGTGGAATAATTTCTGAAGAATGGAAAGAACTATCTATCCCCCAGAAGAAACAGAATATCTTATCCATTTAATGACAAAAAATATCAGTACACAGTGTTTCAGATTTTTGCAACAATGGGTGTCAGAGAGGCCATATATTTTTACAAGAAACCCTCTTGGATTCCTTCTAAGAGCAAGAAGATCTTCCAGAATTGAAGGGAACAGAATTTTCTGAAATGAATTAAATCACAAATGAATCAATTTGTACGTAGCGCCACAGACCCCTTGTCTAACTGAATGATGAAATCTACGCAGCTACTTACTAAACCTGAGGAAGCAGAGCTGATACTTTGAAAGGTGAGCTTTAATTACATCACCCTAGAATAACTTCATGAGTAGTCAATAATATTCTCTTGTTCTTTCCAGAGTTCAGCCACAGAACTTAAACTCCTATGTAAGCATCAAGAAAAAAATCTTTTGTCAGGATGATACCATTCTTAACGCAAGCTTCCTGCAATGGCCGAATTGGCCTGAGAAGTGAGTGCATAAATAGCCTTGCAGTTTTGTAATCTTTAGAATTTAATGAATTGCCTATTCAACTGTCTCTCTTTACAAGGCTGCTCTCATTTGCCCTCACTGACCCTATTCAATTGCTTCACTGACAAACATAAAGGCTTCTGTTTCAGAGCAAGAACTGAAGTATTTGTCCAGCAGCCTTCTCTAGAAGCAGAAATACTCTAGAACATCCCAGGTACTTAACAAAATACAATCCAATATGAAGCCCACAGAAGAGAAACAGCTGTGAAGAAGGCCCCATGCTCTTTAAGCTCAGGAAACAGCCTGATTCAAATCTCCTTGCTGAGGAAAAGAGCCCTTTTCACAGCGTAGGAACATCTAGGACAGAAAAAGCTGTTGAACATCCATCTGTCTTTAGGGACTTTACTTTTTGCACACCATGATTCCACCCGCATAACACCACCACTACCACAGGGAAATCATTACTGAAGTCAATAATAAGGCCAGCAACCATGTGTTCTTATGGGTGAAAGCCCAAGATCTTCCCATTCAGCTGAGAGACAGAAGGGAATCTGGACTTTCTAAATACTACAGGGGAGAAAGCTTTTGCTTGAAGACAAAGACATAGTGACCTATGCTGGCAAAGCAGATGAACAGTGCTTACAGAGATACATCCACAGTCAGGGTTGCACTAAGGGCCAGCTGCCTCTCCTGCCTTAGTGGCCGGGACTGGAGAGCACAAAGGAGAAATGATGTCCTCCATTCTACCACCCATGAAAGCAATAGGGGGCCACTCCCTCCATTTATCACCTGTTGTATTCCAGCTGCTCCAAAGAGAAGATGTGTTTGTTGAAATACTCCTGGAGTTTCTCATTTGCATAGTTAATGTTAAACTGCTCAAAACGATTCACCTGTAAGAAGAAAGAAAGATTATAAAACTTAACATTCTTGTCCCTGGGCTCTAAGAGAACAATGGGGAAAGTGTCAGGCCTGGAATAAAGCCAGTTGAGCACAGAGGCAAGGGGTGTCAGATGGCTATGAGGAGTACAGTATGGGGAGGTCCACTAGGAGAACAGCTTTTGTAGCTCATGCAAGGCTAATTCATTAGGCCTAAATGGTAGTAAAGGATGCTAAAGACAATCACATTTCTCATCTTCTTCTTAGGGAGAAAGAAATATAATTCCCCAAGTGTTAGGTCACTGGGCTTTCTCTGCTGTGAAATACCTAAGCAGTCACTATATGGCTGCTCAACTTACATCCCTCATAAGTTGCAATCAGAAGCATTACACACAGGATTCCCAACACAAGGCAAAACAAGTGTAAACAAGCAATGTGCACATAGGAGTTGGACATTTAATTTGTATACAAGTCAAAAATTCAACATTACCTATCACAGCACATCTTCTTAGGGTCTGTGTTACAAACCAAACCTTGAACATCACCCTAATCATCACATGATTACCAGTGGCAGAAACGGACAGCTAAATATATCTTGCTGCTTGCGGAGGGAAGTGGCAGTGCAGAAATCCCAGACTGCCCTATGCTGACCTAAGAAGGATACAAACCTACCAAAATTCCTTCCTATATGCACTGACATCTCCAAAACCAACCCACCCTGCAAAAGACAAAATCCTGACCTGAAAGTTCTCGAAGCCAAAGATATCCAGGATTCCCACAGACTTAAAGTTTTCCTTGCCTTTGATCTTCGTATTAATCTTGCTAATGAGCCACGAAAAACACTGGGAATACAGCGCCATAGAGAGGGAGTCCCTGGAGTCAGCTGCCTGTAAATGCAGAGAGAAAAAATGAGTCACAGGAATAAGAGAAAGCATAAGGGGAACTACGAATCTCTATGGGACTTCAGGTTCCTCCACTCCTCTTTAGATGTCTCGGCCTCCATACTTGTGCATGGTGCAGTATTTATATGTACAGTCAATATTCAAGTTTGCAAATAGCCTAGCCACACATAGAGGTATCACGTCTGAACTTTGGGCAACTGAACTTGAGAGGCTGAAGGAAGTAGCAAAATCTTTGACATCTTTTGGAAAAATGCTGGGGCAGGGAAGGTCACAAAATACCTCATGACTAAGCCTGTAGCAGTCATTTGCATCACCTGAGACATCTGCAGTGACAGACAAGGTATCTCGGTTCAGTACTCCTAGTAGAGCTGTCAAATGGGTGTCCACTCAGTTTTTAAAAAACTGGTAGGGCAGGATTTAATAGAGCATTCTGTCACAAAAATCCCCTCTCCAAAACTTCCCTGGAAACAGCATGATCTTACTGGAAGACAGGGTAGGCCAGCTAACAGACAGGTTACATGCCCCAGAAGAGCATGGGTTGAGAGACTTTTCTGGAGCTGACCCAGCATCCCATGCAGCAATCATAACCAAGTGTCATAGGTGGAAAAAATGACTTAAACTGTGATCACTAGCAGGCAGCAAATAATTGGGAGTAGGTAAGCATATGGATGAATGGCCAAAATTGAACTTTCAAAATCTCAAGCAAAAGCCTGCTACTTGATAGCTGTAACAGGAATGGGCTGGTTATCAGTTTTGATAACACTTGGACTAAAAAAAAGTGGCAAGCCCCAAATCCTCCAGTTAATAAAAAGACATGAGACAGAACCACAGATTAAGAGGCTGACTGCATGCTATCCTGCACATACACTATTTAGACTGGGAAACCAGGGCTTAAGGTTCTGGAAAGAAGAGGAGGCCAAAACTAAGGGGTCCCAAAAAGCAGATGTGATCCCAGAGAGTATAAAAAGGGGCCAGGAAAGATGGTGGCAAAGATCTTGACTGGAAGTAAGATGCTGGAAGTGGGGAAGGATCCTGGAGATCAGAGACATGTGGAGAGAAATGTCAGGGTATGCCCAAGGACCTTGGCTGGTAATTCCTGAGACTTGTAACTGCAAGGAACTACACAACATGAACCAATACAACTTCCTGCCCAATCCTCCTGGCCAAGCAGCAATCTTCCTACTGGGAAAAGAAGTTGACATCTAGTGAACATAATGCTGAGGGGTAAAGTGAACAAATATCAATAATCAAGTATGGGAAAACCTATCATCTTATAATTTCATAAATAAACTGCAGTATCTAGATCAATTACAGGTTGTTTACTCTGTCTCGCCTGTGACACCAGGGTAACTCCTTCAGTAGGCCTGACCAGCAATGACAGAGATCTTCCAAATGCACCCTCATCCTTTTCAGTTTTACAAGCCTGAATAACATGACCTCTCCTGTTCTGCTTTGCTAATGGCACAGGCCAACTGCCTCTGAATCCTCCCAGCAAGCTTCTGAGGCCCAGCCTGCAAGATCCTCCTTTTCACTCAATCTCACCGTTTTTTTCCTCCTTTCTCCTCCTAGGTAGTATCTCCTCTCCAGCAACCCAAGACCAAGGACACAGCAACCTCCCTTCTCTAAGAAGTGAACATTTCAAAGTGTGGGCACACACACCTTTTCTGGGTATGTCTTCCCTCCATCAGATGATCTGTCTTACGCGTTGGTACTCAAGGCCATGCCTCTGTAGTGTCTCTGGCTACACAGTAAGTTGGATTCATTTTCCAGGAACAGGACCTTCTCATCCAGCTGTAAGCAAAGCTGCTTTCCCCACAATATGGCTCAAATGAGATTCTCAAAGGCTCCTTTCATCCTCCCAGCTTTGCCCGCCTTCAGGCCAATTCATCCATTCAGCCCACTGAAATGTCAAAGCTCAGATGGGTAACGAGCTCGTTACACAATGAGAAATCCCTGGCAGCTCTATCAGTGCATTCCCACAACAACAAGTGGGAATAGGTGGGCACAGTACACGAGGGCTTAAGTGGGAAGTCTTTACAGGCGCAGTGTTCAGTGCAGCAGGCTCACCTACCGAAGCCAGCTAAGTAGCAGCATCCACTTGCTATAACCATTTTCTTGCAGTCTTAGTACTTCACTGGGCTGCAAGCAGTAACTGTGGGATCCAACACGCACAAATGTTAGGAATAGCTGTACTATTGGGGAAAACTGTTCAGGGAGGCTCTTGTAAATCCTACAACTGAACACTGTTGCCTGGACTGCATGGAGTGTCTCTGGCATTATTTGTTATCCATCCTTGTGCACTGATATAGAAAGATGTGGCTTATTTAGGACAGAGAGCTGAGAAGAGGAACTGTGGTACTGGATATTGGGGATATCTACTACAGACTATGGGCTGAAAAATAACTGTCACACAATTTCATTGCAAAGAAAGGTCATAGACTATGAAAAAAAGATACCATTTCTTAAAGGCAAAGTTTAGTTTGTGATATATTAGAAGGTGTGTTTGCAGCAAGAAAAGTGACTGCTCTGCTGAATCAGCACTGCTGAGACTTGAGCCTAAATAGAGTGTTCAGCTATAGGCACTCCACTTCTTGAAAGATGCAGGAAAACAGAGACAGAAGAAGAAGAAATTTAGAAAATCACTTAAAAGGAAACATTGAAGGAACTGGATTGTTTAGCTTAGAAAAAAAGAACACATGAAAAATTTCCCAGAAGCAGAAACTTATAAGGTGGACAGCTGGAATGTCAAAGGTAAACTAAATACGAGGAAAATCTTTTCAGCTCCTGACTCCACTGCAGCTAGAGCAGGATACCTAAAGAGACTGCGAAATTCCTTCCATGGGAAATATGAAGGAAAGTTAGACAGACATCTGTCAGAAAGAATCTAGTAACTCTGGTTTCTCTGCCAATATAGGGGCTGGATTGATAACCCTCTGCAATTCATGCCAGCACAAGATTTCCATTACAGATGTTCATTTTGCTATAACATGATGCTTATTCCATCCTAGTAATGTTATTCCTTGTTTCCCAGTGTCTTGCACTTTATTAATGCCAGAAGATTTTCTACAGTTATCTGTGCATGGACCTAAAACACCAAGAGTGCCCTCAAGTGATCAGCAGCACCACAAGTTAAAGTCAGTATACACAAAACTATAATGAACCACAGAAAAATGCAACAAATAAACAGGACTGGCTCCAGCATGCAGTGCAGGTTCAGAAGATGAGAACTACATATCAGTTTATTTGACCCTGGATACACAAAGAAGCTACTGTGGGATAACAACCTACTATCTGCTGGACGTTTCATGAAAACTGTGTGCAAGCTTTTATCTTCCAGTAAACGCAATGTAACCTGGGAGTTCTGCAAGGTAAAAACATCCACACATGCAATTACCACAAAGCATCTAATGTACCTTCTGCATGACACAAGCATGACCAATTCCTGGTGAGTGACGGTGAATACTTAAAAACAGTATTGTGCACTGCCATTTGGTGAACTCCCTGTAAAGCCTAAAAAGCAGAGTCAACACTGGGACCTAAACTACCAATAAGGACAAAATACTTGAGGACACAGATGAGCACCTAGGGAGTGTAAGAGGAAACCCTAAACTTGAATGGATGATACAAGAGGGAGATGGAGGGCCTGGAAATGCACAAGTGGCAGAAGCAATAGCATACACTAGGACACCTACCTGCTCCACAGTGAGAGGGGAGCTGATCTCTTCCCCACGCAGGATCATGGACCTCTGTGTTAGTACTTCGGAAAGCTGGAAGGCATCTAAGCCCAGGAGGTCACTGGCAATGTTCAGCACTAATAACAGAAGAGGACACACTTTTTTCTCCTGCATGCATCCCCATCGCTCATGGGAGATGCATATTCTGCAGCTAAGTGAGGAAATCCCAGGGACTCCTACAAGGCAAGTGACTAAGCCCCAGCACAAAACACGCCCCCCTTTACTTAATTCTCTTTGGCATACCCAAAACTGTAAGCTCACATATCCAGTCTGAGGCAGGGTCAGCATTCATTACAGGCCACAGTCAGACACTCACATAAGTCAACCTTTCTGGTGGCAACAGGAAGAGCAAAGCATTGTGTAAAGCTCAGCACAAGTAAAATATTTATTGAATGAGAAGATATGTTTTCCTAAAGGCACAATAGTGCAGTCTGAGCGTGGGATTGCTAAACTTGCATGTCAAGAAGAGATGCAATTAACTTAAGACTTGAAGCACTCATAATATATATTTATTGCTTCTGTCTGTTTAGGGATTCATTTTACCAGAGCAGCTCAGATTGGGTAACTGTATCAGAGTGCACACTAGCAGATGTTTCAAAGGAGAACATGGGCAAGTCTGTAACTTTTACCTCAGACTCCTCCCTGTTCCTATTTCTTCCTGCTTGTTCAATGCAAAAGAGAAACTGTGATACTGTGGACTCAGTCTGAGAGTATCCAGAACAAATGGACCACAGGTCCACAGCCCAACTAAATCATACTGGTGCTCTGGAGCCATGCATCCTTGGGCACACACACCTTTTCTGAGTATTTCTTCCCACCATCAGATGGTCTCTCTTACTAGTTGGGACTGAGAATGCCCTCAAGGCATTCAATGTTTTGCAGAGTTAAACTGCAGGGAATCTTCTGGCAAAGGCACTGCAGACCAGCATAGCAGAGGGAGAAATGACAATGGAATGAGCTTCAGTGGAGGCCTTATGGGGCTTTGCATGGTCTACCAAGTTGCTAGGATCCCACTTACCTGCTTTAGTTGTAATCTGGGCCCCACCAGCTGTCATGAATTCAACATTTCCCAGATGAAGTGTGCCAGAAAGAAGTTTGAAGATGTCTCTGATTTCTTCAGTGCTGAAGTCCACCACCTTCATAGCAGTCTATGCAAAACCATACAGCTAATGTTGGCTGTACATACAGCCACAGTGCAATGCAACCACCACACTCATGCCCATATAAGATGTAAAACTCAGAAATATACTCATCATGAATCAAAGTGAAACTTGGGAATGGCACAGCCTCTCTCTCAGCTATACATCTGTCAGTGACCTCCACTGTCTCCCATTCTCTCCTTCATTTACCCCATCCCCATCTAAGGCAGGTGGGCATTTGCCCTATCCTCAAGTTGGACTTTGCTGCTGCCTTTGCCTTTCTGTCACAGGAAGAATGTGTTTATCTGTGCCTGTGTGAGGAAATCCTTCCCTGAGCACTGGCAGTACAGATGTCACTGGACTGCTTCCACATTCTGCCTTATTGTCTTCCCTGAAGGACAGATCTGTACAATATACTTAATTTACTCTGATCCACGTAACCCCCTTAATTTATTCTAGCTTAGAATAGTAGATTTATGCAGCAAGATTTAAAACCAGGCTTTTGGCATTACCTGCTAGAAGGTTAGAAACAGGTTACCAGACAGTGAGGAAGTACAGCACATTCCCTATGTCTTAGTGCATCTGAGTCTGGGTCTTGGGCTTAAAGAGCTAGGACCTAGTTTTCATGCATTTGCCCTGTCAGTGAGACATTCCAGGGTTCTAGTTCTCTTCCTTCCTCCAGGCCTCTCCTCAGCTGAAGTATAAATGCCATATTGCCATTCAAACCTCTGCCGTGCAGGAGATATTTCCTTTCCTTAAATCACACCTAAGCAGGAGCTGTTGAAATCCTAAGCTGACTCCTCTCACCTTGCCTATCTGGTTTCACCTACGTTATGAGATCCCTCAGGCCAATCAACACTTATCAAACAAAACACAAATTGCATATTCATCCTGCTAAACCCATAACCTCTGGTGAAGTTACAGATGTCTACTGAAATCCATGTTGTATTTCAGAATTTGCACAGGTGATCCAACTTTACTAAAAAATTTCTGGAGAACACTACTTTCAGATCAAACTGTTCCCCTTCTAACGGTCAGTGTGAGGTTTCCTGCATCAAGCCATCAGAGGGCTCCCAGGAACCATTACGTGGTGGAGGGCGAGGTTCATGAGGTTCAAAGTCTCCATTATTCTAAACTATTATTCATCCTTGACTGTTTCCCAAATGCCCCCATTCCAGTAGACTAAAACCACTCTTCAAACCTCTTTTTTACCATTAAAAAAAAAAAAAAAAAAAAGGTAGAGCTGAGTTTCAGACTCGTTGAACACCAAATTTTGAATTTTGGCTTAGGGCAAATGAATTCTGCCTGCAAGATCTAGACCCTGCAGCGCGTTTAGCCCATGAGATTTTGACCAAGACATTCAGGAGGAGTTAAGACAGGACTCACCATGACCTTACTGAACATCTCTGTGTCATTCAGGTTCTCGTCAGTCACACAGCCAGACTGGTTCAAGTAGCGATAAGTCTCTGGCTCAGAGAGGGATAGACTCTCTGCAATAGAGGAAAAAGAGGCAGAGAGGAGAAAGACAACAATTTATTTAGCAGTCAGCCTTTTCATTCCATGATCCTGGTCCCCAACACAGTGTGTATGTTTACCATAGGGAGCAAAATTATTTAGAACAGCCAAATTCCAAGCTGCAGAGTCACAGAAGAATATTTCAATACTGAACTGACTCAGTAAAAATTTACAAAAGATTAAATTAAATCTTGTAAAGTTTACAGAAAAATAGGCTTAACTATATACTCCTCTGAATTAGGAATCACCGCTTGAGACAGAGTTCAGAGAGTCACAATAAGATTTCTGAAGACATCAACTCAGTGCTGAGTAGAGTCAAAAACTGAATACAGTTTGGTTCCTTCAGTTTTAGAAGGAACACAGAACAAAACATAAAAACAGAATCAGGTCTCTGCGTGTATCTTTTGCACAACCAGATCTTAAACACTATCGGCACATTTGATCTCCCATTTCAAAACAGACAGAGAACTAAAAGATCTATGGAGAAAAGAGACAAGAATGATCAAGAGACAGAAACAAATTACAGATGAGGGAAGTGAAGCAGCCTGGGACACCACCTTGGAAAGAGAGACGGGGAAGAATAGCAGAGATCTGCTGAAGAAAAGAACCTTTTTCATATGCTTTCCCTAAGTACCTTCCTCACCTCCCAGGTGGGGACCTGATAACCATGGTCCCCACTATTGCCTTGTGCTTTAGATGGATCTCTGAATTGACCTATGTGGCCAGTCCTGCATGAAGTCCCTAGAACTGAAGCCCTACTCCCTTCCATTCTGTGTCAGGCCCAATTCTTCCATCTGATTATTCTAGCACACACAGAACAAAGGCACAAAGAAACTCCCCAGCCCCTCAAAACCAGCGTGCAACTGTAACATGTTCCTGCCCATCTATGCGACCTCCTCAGCAGACCATCAGTGCTCAGCAGTGCCCAGGCCAGACACACACAAATGTCATTAACGGAGTGCTGCACTACAAAGAGGATTCTTCTACAGCCTGCAGCTGCTGCTTTCTCTGCATGCCCTCTTCTCAACACACCTCTCCCTTCCCCATGTACAGAGCTATAAACCCTTTGCTCAGATACTAGACATGTTTTTACTCTAGTCCTGCTACTGCCTTGCTGGTCCTCTAATTCTTATGTCTCCTATTACCTATACTGAAAGTTTTTTGTAAAAGTATGTCTGACAGTCCAACCTTTGAACTCCTTCAACAACTGCCATCAGTATCTGAATCAAGACTCTTTACCCTTTCTTTGCCTCTAGCCAGTTTCATTACCTCACCTCTCTATATCCCCTCTTCACTTTGCAGACTTTTCCCTCCAGCTCAGAATGCCTGAAGTGTCTTTTCTCATACAGCATTTCTATCATCCTCAGCCTCTTTCTCTCAGCTCCTGTTTCTGTTTCCCATGAAATCACCATATGGCCTTCAAGTAAAATTATACATCAGGTATCTGAAATATCATGCTCTAGTTGTCTTACACCTTCTTCACATGCTGAACTAGAAAGAGGACAGAGCCATATCCCAGAAAATTAAATTACCTTTCAGCTCCCCGCTCACACCAGCTAGCAGAGCATAAAAGATGTGGTAATTCCTCTCTCCAGGGTTCTGATGTACCACTCTGTTCTGAAACAAAGAATACAGGAGTAGCCAGTAGAAACTGATCACACTTGTGGTTGCAAAGGCAAAGAGTGGACCAGGACACAGGAAAATTTCCGGGGCCAATGCACAAGAGGGGCTTCTTCCAGTTTAGTGATGGTGTTGCCTAAATAAGATCTTGTCATGTGTGGCTGTGCAACTGAGCACATACAGACTTCTCTGAACTCAGAGAGTGCACGCACGGACAAATTGAACCTTGTCAGTTCTGCCCCTGCTCCTCAGTGAGTTACTGAGTTCAAAGTAAACTACATCAGAAAAGTGATGTCTGCATTTGGAGTTGTACCTCCATATTCCTCTCTATGGAATTGAGTTCCCAAGTACTTGTTCTCTCTTCCTTTCCCCTTGGTAAAGTTTTTTCTTGGAGTTTCTCTGTAATGCAGAGTATTTATCAAAGACAGGAGAACGGGCTCTGATAAATATAGAACAAACATTGTTCCTTTTCCTCACTTGGGACAGTTGCAGTAGTTAACATCTAAAGCGCTAATGTCTATGTGCTGTGATGGAAGCAGCATCATCCAGTAGGAGAACTGGCACTGCCCCACCACAGTAGGAGGAGGGGGCTCACCCAGCAGTCAGTAGAGGTGAAACATACCTTTTCCAGTAAATCTGAACACCATGTTAAGGAGAAAACATTCAAATGACATATGCACAGATCTCCTGATGACTGGCAAAGAATCTGTTAGACACACTGGGATGAATCCTGTAACAAGCAACAAATAATTAAATAACTGATGCTTTGGAAAGTGGACCAGGAATGGTCGCAAACATCATCTGGGAACCTCCTTGCTACTCCTTGTCCACAAAGGTATTATGTGCCAAAGAGATATATAAAAGGGCAGGGTCAGATAGAGCACAGGACCTGCACAATGGTGAGGTGACCTAACAAAGGATGAGCCACATTAGGGACACTTAGAAAGATTAGAGAGGCTGCTCCGTGGCCTGTATTGCACACAGCAAGTCTTGCATCAGTTCTCATTGCTTCTGCAAAAGACCACTATCTTATCTACCGACAGCACGAAGAGCAGAGACTAAACAATCCAAGCCTGTTATTTACAACAGTAGTAAATTCATCTGGCTAATACTCCAGTGGAAATTGGTGTGGTTTGCAGTCATCAGCAGCTTTGAACATCAACATCCAGAAATGTCGCTAGGGCAGCTTTAGCTGCCTCAAGTAGACAAAAGGTATGTAAAACCTTTGGGAGAAGGGTACATGGGCGTAGGGGGAAGAAAGTGGCCATGTCACAGCATAATTTGACTATTTGCAGTCTTCCTTGTTCTTGTTGGGTCCCCAGAGAAGTGGTCATGGCACCAAGCCTGTCAGAGTTCAAGGAGCCTCTGGACAGTGCTCTTAGTCATATGATTAATTTTACATAGTCCTGTGAGGAGCAGGGAGTTGGACTCAATGATCTTTATGGGTCCCTTCCAACCTGAGATACTCTATGATTCTATAATTGGGGTTCCAAGGTCCACTGGAGACGGGCAGCCCAAAACAGGGAGTCACAATTGGCCCTCTAAATTCCTGTTCTCATCTGTATCCAAATATTGTGCAGACCATATTGATTCTTAGCTTGGTCTCACTTTTCTAAATCATTAATTCATTGGCAGAGCTAATATCAGGGAAAAATCTTCTGGGAAAAACAGGATGCAATCAACACGAGGGCACCAAATTCTAGGGATTTAAGTATCAAGTGTTGTGATTGCCAAAGTGAAAAGTCAGACTATGTCCCTACCTAATGTAGTACCTAGACAAAACATTTCCAGAGTTAGGTGCTGCAGAGCCACAAAACAAATACTTCTTCCTTCTTCAAGGTGCAAATTTTCCCATAGTTATGAAATAGCTTTGAGAAATTGTGATGAGAGACTTCCTGACCCACTCTGAGCTCATTCTCATCTTCACTCACTCCATCCATTTCTGGTCCACTGAAGAAAAGGATACAGTCAGTTACTCGCCCTCCCTGGATGTGTCCATGTTGAGAAAAATGCAGCTGGATGAACTTGCCAAAGCGACTGGAGTTGTTGTTATAAACTGTCTTGGCATTTCCAAAGGCCTCCAGAATAGGGCTGCAGAAACAAGGCAATGAAGATATGATTGGTGATTTGATACCATTACGACAAAGCGTGTGCACAACCTTTTGCCGTTTGCACAGCATGCACTGCCATGTGAGATTAATTTGTTACAGCATCAGACTGGACAAGCAGGAAGAGCTCAAGGGCAAGGAAGGATGGCAAGAGCAATTCGACTTGCTGCTAGATAAATTTTAAACCTCTGGGATTTAAGTTAATTAAATCAGTCCCCAATCCGTATGGGCAGCTGGTGTTCATGTTGTCAAGGGCATTTGCCACCAGCGTGGCTCCAGGAAATGAAAGGTGGGGAGACCCAGCCAGGTTGCGTGCTTAACACAGCAGCATCTCATGATATGGGCTTGTATTTTTTTTTCAGAATTCTCAGAAGCATCAGACATATGGGGCAAACACTCTGTAGCTTTAAACCACATACTACGATGTTTCTGCTACTGCCCTTGAATAAGAACAGTTAAGACACCTCTTAAAATTACAGGTAAACATGTTCAAACTAACAGACAAACATAGTACTAAACTGAATTGTTTGGTACAGAAATTTGATACTGAGACACACAAACTCCTGTTGTGACTTAAATCTTGCTTAAGCTGATACAAGCTACATGGTTTCCAAGCAGAGGGAGTATACACACACTATAGATTTGAAAACTTCATTCTAAGAGAGCCACATCACCCACTTCAGGAAAAAAAAATTTGGAAAAAAAAAATGTATCACCAAACTTCAGACAAGTAATGCATTAAAGAATTTTGTCTCCTGGTCACTTTCCTGTCTTCAGAAGGCTCATACAACATGGAAAATAGTTAGTTAAAATGCAGCTGGGTTCTTGCTCCACAGAACAGTACAAGGGAAAAGCCTAAACCATTCAAACTGACATGCTGAATTCAGGATTAAAATATTAATTTTTGCAATTTTACCAATTCTAAAATAATCTGAAGGCCTGACAAGCAAGGAGTCATGGAGATGCTACAAGAACAGCCTATATGTGGTCATGTTAAATGCTAAAACACACATAGTTTTTAACAAAAATTATTGCAAAAATTATTATTATCCTGAGAAATACTGTCTTTTTAAACATCTCCATCAATCTACTGTGTGGTTCCACTTGAGACAGAGGCAGATACAGGATTATTCACAAGTTAATAATTATAATGTGACAGATAATCACAACTACAGATATCACTGGAGTTTGAAAGCTTCCTTGCAAGTGTCAGCTAAGTGAGAGCTGTGGTTGGGGGAAAGGCCCAACAACCTTCAGGAAACTTCAGGCAGTATTTTCCTAATTTATCTCTTGAAAATATCATTTTAAACAAACAAAAGCATATAAATGAAATTGCTCTGTTATATTGCAACCATAGAAAACCCTGTCACAGAAATCTGTGTGCACAGATCAGGAGGTAGGTTCCTTGCCCTGGAGAACTGAACTCCAAGACCCGTGCCTCTGAAATGAGTATGTAAATAAGGACATTGCCCAGGAACATCCCACTGAGCACACCAACGCCATGAATCAACAAAAATTAATGGGGACAACCAGAAGAAGGGCGGACAGCGTTATGTTATATGACCACCACAGTGAGAGTGCAATAACCAGCCAGACAAACTTTATGGCTCTAAATCATGTTAAATTAGATAAGCAAAGCACAAGGAAGGATCTTTATAGTTTAGTTTGGCAATGGACTCACACACGAGTGCAGAAATCTTTCAGGGATGGGGGAGGAAATAGGCATGTGGGTGTCCAAGGCTGGTGGCAGCTGCAGGGCAGAGGGGTGGGTGAGCTGATCCAGCCAGGAATGAGGGCAGGTGCCTGGGCCAAGCAAACCGACCGCGCCAGCAGGCACAGCACAACGTGGCATTTGATGCCGCAGTGAACTGCACGAGGTGGAGCGGTGCATCGGGAAGGTGATGCTGGCTGCTTGGCTGGATGTGGGCAGGGTGTGCTGCAGGACTCAAAACGATGGGAACCAGTTTCAGCAGGGCAGCAGAAAGCAAAGCCTGGATTTTAGAAATATTGCAACATATGCAGCTCCAGGATTCAGTCACATAGCTGAAGACAAAAAAGAAGATTCGAAGATTAGAAGGATGAACAGGAAAGGTGGTTATGCTGTCAGCAGTGTCACCCAACATGGCAAAGGAAGCTTCAGAGTCCAGCAAGCAAGAAAAAAAGCTGAGAGGAAAGTTAACAGCATTTTTAATGGACTGGTGGGATATTTTCAAGACAGAAACCAGACCAAATCAAGAATGCCAAGGGAGTTTTCAGAGCCCGATTTCCGAGAAATACACCAAGCATGAACATTAGAACACACAAGCAAATGATCGAAAGCTGATGTAATACTTTGTTTATAATGCTGTCTGAAATGGAGAAAGAATCCAGCATTGTTCCTGGGTATGTGCTGGGGTGCAAGGATGAAAATCCACCATGAGTTAACCCAAGGAGGGCCACTGGCAGAGCAACTGAAGCTGAAATGCAAACATATGAGGTAGACTCATTAAGAGTGGCAGTGGCTTCTGGCTCTGGGCCAGGTCTTCAGCTTCTCTTCTTCAGGGAAAAGGTGACAAATCAATTCTCTTGCACTCGCATCGCAATAACTCACATAGCACTACAGGTGTCCTCAAAACAGGTCGTGAGCTCTTAACTCCACCTCACAGCTGTGGGAGCTTGCAGACTCAGGAATCACCTACCTACTATAGTAAGCTTTCTGGAGCACAGTCAAGTTACCACTTAACTGCTAAGCAGGCTTGAGCCTTCTAAGCTGCTCGCCTTAAAGCGGATTTTGCAAATCTTGAGTCGTGACTGTATCGCACTTAAGAGCTTTTTCCAATTTGCTAATGTCCTTGGTAAAATCTGCACACCTACAAAGGATAAATCATCCAACAACAGTCTCTCCAGCACCAGGTCCAAAGGCAGAAACCCTTCTGCTCAATGCTGCTCTGCTTACAAGAAGCCTAAAAACTGCAATGCTCTTGCAGCTGCCACGTTAGACATTGTATGTTTGCTTAGGCTATTTCCACCAAAAGCGCTAGTAACTTTTTGAGTCACTATCTTCCAGGAAACACTCCTTCCCTCTACATCCTGAGCCCCAAAATATGCCACTTGCATGAGGGTCACTTTTACACAGATGGTTCAAAGGATTCCAGCTTATTACAGTAGATCTGGTTGCAGACATCTGATTTACTCACCTGGAGGTTTCTGCAACTATCACAGGCTCAAACTAGGACCAGCCTGCAGCTTCACCCTTGACAGCACCAAACTGCAAGACCCCAGCAAGGTCCTCCAGGCACAGGCAAGACAGTCTTGCATTGGGAAATTCTTGTTTAATTTAATTTATTGCTGGATAAGAGAAACTTCTAATCGTGGATTCAGGTGTTAAGAAAAAGAAGGACATGAACAATAAATCAGACACTTAAGTAAACATCTTTCCTCCCTCTTCCCAAGGCTTAACTAAAGTCAAACATCTATTGCTCCCTTTTCTTAGCCTCAGCTTCCATTTTAACCTCCACTTACAACCAGTCCTTCACAACTGCCCCGACAAGGCAGCGGGCAGTGCAGGAGGCTGGGATCCCACACTTAACAGTTTCTCTGTCACTCTTTGCTTCCTCATTTTCTCTGCTGCTCTTTGCCTCTTACTAGTTTTCCTCAGCTGCACTTCTTCAGGTTTTCCTGACACTTTTTTCCTTGGTGTCCCTGTTCCAGCACGGGTGACCCTTGGGTCATGGTCCTTCTGGGGTGTCCCTGCCCTGACGTGGGTCACAGTCCCTCAGGGGTGTCAGGACCTCCTTTGGCGTGAAGGGTTCCCACAGAGTACATCTCCATCTCCTCATGGCAGCCAGTTTCTTTCCCAAACATGTTTGATCTGGGCGCCGCGTGCTTCCCTGCCTGCCTGATGCCTTGGCAAGGTTTTGGAGGGTGGTGGTTGTTCCCCGGTGCCAGGTCCAGCTAAGACTGGCTCTGAGCAGCTCGGGGTCTCCTCCCACACAAGTCCCACTGCAGCCCCCAGCAAACCTCCTCACTCGTGCCCCTTACAGCTTCCATGGACATTTATCCCTAAAATCCCTGGACAGCAAGAGAGCCGCAAGGCAGCCCACAGGACCTCTGAGGGCAAGATGTAGTGGTGGCCTGAAACAAATGCAGGCTGAGGGAGAGCAAGGCTAAAGGAGGAGACCAGGAGTCACAGTGTGGTGAGTACAGCCACAACCAAGAACTGTGGGAGATGGGGATGACCTGGGACAGCCATCCCTGTGGCAAGGAGGAATGTTACCCACGTCCCCTCCAGCCACTGCCACGAGAGACGCGGACCTAAGAGCTGGAAAGAGGGACAGTGCAGTGACACATGGGTGAGCTCAAGGGTGCAGCCAGGTGGGCACGGAGGATGAGTTACTGAAGGAAGGACAAATCCCAGCCTTGGCTGGAGCATTAATTCTCCGTCTGCCCCACGCTGTTATTGGAAAGAAGCCTAATTCATCCACGGGCAGCTGGGAGAGCAGCCAGCACCAGGCGTCTCAGCAAGACCGCAACCTCCACACTTCCCTGACACGACACCATTCAGCTGCACGAGCCTTGCCACCCAGGTTCAGCTCCATCCACAGCCTGGATCACGCGGCCCAAAGGCAGACACTGTGCAGAAGGCAGTGCTGCCACCAAGGGCAGGCTGCCCCAGCACGCCTGCATCTGCAGGGACAGGGACCCGTGTGCCCATGGGGGTGACCATACCTGCTTTCCAGAATGGCTTCTTCCACATGAGTGCTCTTCTCAAATGCAGGGGCCCCGAGGGAGGACTGGCTCATGGCTGACAGAAATTTCAACAGCAACTTGGTGCTCTCAGTCTTTCCAGCTCCACTTTCTCCACTGTTAAGGAAAAGACATATGTTCCATTCACAAATCCAGGACAGACTGAGCTAACAACCACCATCCCACCCACAGCAGAAAAGTGATCTCCAGGAATAAACACATGACATTTCTACTGCGACAAGCAAGGGTCAGGCAAAGGGTTGGGTAGGATGGTGTGGATATTTAGGCAGATGGCATTGCAAACGGAGCAGCAGGAGCAAGGCGTGCAATGCAGTCAGGGAGTAGCCGGTTCTCCCATTTCTAACCTTATCAGAACACACTGGCTGTCATGACGCTTCCACAAACAGCAGTAGCACTCGTTAGCGGTGGCGAAGATATGGGGAGGCAGCTCACCCAGGCGGTGCTGTCTGTACAGGTCTATGGCATCCACACTGTACAGACCAGGGATGGGTTTGTAGGGATTTACTGATGCCAAGATGGAACCAATGTTTGTCTAGGGGGAGAAAACAAAACACAGCAAGGAAATAAAGCTCCTGAAAAAAAAAAAAATCATGACAAACCTGGACCCTGAAATAACTCATGTTGAAGGCAGAAAGCCTAAATAAGGAAGTTGGGCTTCAGCAGAGCTCCCCAATTTGGCAAAGAATGTAAAACCCCACGGCAGGGGCTGCATGATTGAGTATGGATGGGGCAGTTTGAATTTTGCTGCTTTACAAAAAAAGTGTTCTTAGTCCGTTGTCTTTTCTAAATTAAGCTTACACAACTGAAAAACATGAAGCCATCTTCATACCCAGCTACCTCGCACTGTGCTTGAAGCTGAAAAGCAGAGCCAGGACTGAAGGAGCATCAGGAGATACCTTCAATGCCCCTATCCACAGTTACACACACACATGTATGCGAATAGCCACTAAAGTGTTTCATTTTTCTTCTGATGAAAAATGCTCTTTGGAGCAGCTTAAAAAATTTGGTAAGCCAAATCCAAATTGACAGCTGAGGATGAAGCTCAGGATTTCAATTCAAAACATTTCTACGTTTTCTAAACATTTTATTTTGCAAATATTTATTTTGCAAATCTCACAGTTCAATAAAAGATTTGGTAAGGCTTAAAATAAAATACCCAAAGCCTAATATTGAATTTAAAATGTATTATTTTGTGAAGTCAGAAGGAAATTCATTCTGGTTTCTGGAGCATGACTTTTTCAGTTCAGCCAACCAGCTCAAATCCAGTTATTCTCAGAGCTGCAGTTCAGAGCAATGGTGCCACCTCTCTCCTAACAATGGCTTTGTAATATGGCCAACATCCAGCTTAAATTCTGCTGCTGGCATGGTGGCCTCCTTCACAAGGACATCTTGGGCTGCTCTACTCCAAGAAAGCCAATTCTCAGCAGGGGTGACAGAGGAAGCACTTAAATTGCTGCAGTAGGTGCCAAGCTTTGTGACTAGGGACAACATCTAGTATTATTTCCAGATCATGAACTAGAAGTCACCACATAGGTATACAAGGATTTGCAGGCATCCACTGGAGAAGCTGTAAATGAAGGTCTTGGTGACTAGAAAGACGCATGCTTTCTTCCTGCCAAATGAAATCTGGGGCCATACTGCAATGCTAAGCTCTGAAGCCAGAAGTCAGACTAAGATGCTGTAGTCACCAAAATATTTAAGACTTATTTATTAAAGCAGCAGTCACAGATCATCAGAGGAAAAAAAAAATCACCTAATTGCATTATTGGTACGAACAGACTAGCATGGAACAAGTCCTGAAGACCCTCTGACACGGACCTTTGTGAGTAGAAATATCATCCTTGGTGATGAAAGCAATAAGCAAGCAGATGATCTTTGGCAAGACAGGTGGGAGGAAATGGGAAAGCATTGAGAGAGAAAACAGAAATTGGCAAAAAGCATTGTACAACCAGTTCAGCAACGGACAGTGTCCAGAGACTGCAAGACAGAGATGTCCATCCTAACACTTCTCCCAGACCTTCACAGCACTTTTTCCTTTCAGATGTTTTATTTTGCATTTCTCACTCTAGTTTCAGCTCTCCCAAGGAACAGCTCCTGCCACAGTCCTTTCCAGAACTCCTGCCACTACAGAAGTTGGGGTGGTCAGGCGTGGCAGAGCTAGGGACAACACAGAATGTGGCAGCACAGCCCCTGCCTCATTTATACATCACTCACATTATGTTGGGTCTACTTTTATTAAGGGATACAGGAATTGCAGGAATGAAGGGGGAAGACACACTCTTAAATACTGCAGAGGTGGTTGCTGTGCACACATAATTTCCTTAAACCGTTTGGAAGAGCTTGAATAGTATTTCTTTAGAAAACAAAAAGTACTGTCGAGATTGTCAGTATTCCTGTAGCACATTAATCATGGGCACCCCACCAATATAGTTGCATCACTACCTACACTCCCTGACCAGAAACAAGCTCGTGGTAGGATGTCTCCAGGCATACAGTTCAGAACTGCACTGTCCTCTTTCACAGCAGTTGTCCACTTCATGTTCTCAGTTTTCCATCCCCTCATTCTTTATTTTTATTATTGTTTATTTATTACTATTTTTAATACTAGTTACCAGTATTCCAGGTTACCCATTCCTTCAGGTGAACTTGTTTTACAGAAAATGATGATATTTCTCATCTGTTTCTGACCTCTCCAATTTCCTTGAAAATATTTTTGGCCCTTACTGATAGGCGCAGCTCCTCTCGGTACAGCTTCACCTGCAACCTTAGCCTATTATGTTCTATCTGTGCAGACCATTGAGGGTGGATATTAAATGAATTCATGGTATTCACACATCACTGCAAGTCATTAGGTGGCACTACAGCTGACATTCTCAATTTCTGCTTAACTGAAAACTATGTGCAGCTGGGCTATGGCAAAAACTAATAGTTAGTGATAAGGCAACTGCAATATTAATGTCCACACTGCAGAAATGAAAAAGAGTGCTTGTACAGTTTGGCATTCTCCAGGTCAGACATGGTGCAAACACATATCCAGATATAGTCCCACTCAAGGAGGGGCTTACAGTCTTTCACTGAGGGGTTCTTCCCACTGTTGAGCATGTTACAGAAGTCAGGGCCCTTCATAAATCTCAAAAAAAAAAAAAATCTGAGGTCCACAGCTGACATTCATGCACTATGCACAGGCAAAAAAATGACATATTAAGCTTTAACACCTTTACACACAGACAGAGAAAGCACAGAACTAATGCTAAACAGGAGAAGGAATAACATATCAGAGCTAGAGGAAAGGCTTAAGGAGGTACAGCTGCTGTGACATTGTCACAGTGCTGGTGTTGTGGCATTTCTGGTGCAAGACACAGCCTTAAAAGGGAGAGAATCCTGCCTCACATGAAATGGGAGGAATATACCCAAATGGGCAAAGAGTTGTACAACCACATGGCACGTGTCAAACACAGGTCAGGAAGAGCAGCAAGGACCAGGGCCATCGAAAGATTGTGTGCATGTGGGTACTGCCACAGTGACAAGGCTATGTTGAGAGACAACAGGAAGGGGGTCTACAGCAACAAAAAAATAGAATTTGCCCTCTCCTCTGCATCCCGGTGTAGGAGATGGTTCAGAAACGGGGTCACTTTATTGATCATTTCCTGGAATACAGGTGCATATGGTTTGGTTGCCTTGGTAACAGTTGCTATGCAACACAGATAAAGATTTACATTTTTTCTGTCATAATCTGAAAAACTCAGGGTGCACATAGCATGGACAAGCAAGGTAAGAGTAAAACAAGGTGAGACAGTCTTTGTAATATATCATCCTAGTCCTCTCCAAGTCTCAGCAGAGCACGCTGCCATTCCAGCACCCCCAGGACACCTTGTCCTGGGTGTGCATTTTCTCACAAGTCCCTTTCCTGATGCTTGCTTCCTTCCTGAGGGCCTGAGACAGAAATCAGGAGATGCTTTTGAGTATTCATCTGTGCAAGGAGAGCAGTGCAACTCAAAAAAGGCACAACTGCATGTAAAAGTAGAAGAATTAGGCAACAGGTTGGCTTTCCTGGTTTTGTCAAGTAGTAGATTTATCTGGATCAGGAGGGATACTCAACAACTACCTGTGTACACTGCACTTTCCAGTCTGCTTGGCCATATAAGCCTCTGAATAGCAATAATGGGGAATCAGGGGAATGTGAATGCCAGCTTGTAAAACACGGGTGGTCATGGAGGATACAGAGCTGCACAATTACCACAAAGCCTAGACGTGAACATTCATGTTTTGGAAGGTCTTCTATAGATGCAGAGGCCCCTCTGGTAGGGGTAGGATCTCACAGGGCTGATGGAGCTGGCAAGGCAGAAAAAACCTCCATATGAAACAATGCTCAGGAAACAATGCTAAAAATCCTTATTTCACATGCAAAGTGGCAGCCCTGAAGCTAAACAAAAGTCATGAGCCAGAAGGGATTTGGCCCAGCTTGAGCACTTACATAGATGTTACCCTGTTGGTAGCGCTGGTGCAGGTTAAGCAGGATGGCAGCTTCATGCAGATCTCCCAGCATGGACATGTCTTCAACCCCATCAATGCTGGTCTGGTGCATTGGCAAGACCTTTTCTCTGGAAAGGGATGCCTTGGGGTACTGTAATACCTGGAAGAATGGAGAAAAGGACAAATAAGCTCATGACATGTGGGCACATGGTCCAATTTCCTACCAGAAACATACCCCTCTCCACACCTCTATACTTCAGCACTGGAAAAGGAAATAAATAAGACACAGATCTGCTCCTTTTCTTTATAGTCATTCTTCCATTCCTGTTCCTACCTGTTTGAGCTCTCTGGCCAGAAGCCAGACAGCACACTCCCTCCTTTTGCTACAGAGTCAGTCTCTCACCTTCACTACTGACAGAGACAGATCACTGCAAGGTTACTTGATTTTTACCAAAGTCCCCCTAGCAGGAGCAGGGCACCAGCCTCCAGCTGCACCAGGCTGGACAGGTATTACACACCGCTCTCATGACTGTGAATAACGATGGCAGCTGCTCCCAAGAGACCAAGAACAGTCTTTCACAAAAACACAGGTGGGATCATGTCTCTGAGTGTGGGGAGGTTGAGGCAAAACTTATTCACATTCTAGGTTTGGCCCTGCACTCTCCATAGGAGTAGCCAGAGAGTGTCTGCAAGAGGTTGTCATGTCAAGGGCAAAGGAAAGCAAAGCAGATGAAAAGACAAATAAAGTAGTAACATCTTTTGTGCATGCTGGCATGTATTTATATGATGCAGCTTTCAAAGCGTTGGTACAGTGACAGCTATTAACTTCTAACACTGCTCTGGGAAGTGCCCTCTTCTCTCTCTATGCACTTGCACTCTTCTTGCCTCAATTGCTGCATCCTTCTTCCTGCTAAAGCTTCCTCCTCCTCAATAACCCACTCTTCATCTATCAGGTCATCTTCTTCACCTCCTTTCAACAGAGCTGAGATTATGTGACTGTTCCCCTCCACTACAGCCACATCCCAGCCCTCCTTTCCTCCTCCTCAAGCACGATGCTGGCATTTCATAAAAGTTATTTCAGTTGCTTCCCACTCTTGGATTCAGCCATGTGCCATCTCCCACCCAGCATCCTAAGCTGCACTAGATGGTAAGACCTAAGACAGACAGATGGGAGACTTCATACAGGCAGCCTGGAGAAGAAAACTGTCCCACAGTAACCCTTCCGAAGAAACCTGGGCTTTTCCTTCCCTTCTGGGGCTCTGGTCTCTCTCTCATTTCCATCCCTGCTAGTCAGCCCTAGCAGGTGCCAGCAAGAAACTGACAGACTCCATAGAGAATGAACCATGATCTATGGCACTGATCTAACTTGTTTTCTCCTGCCTGCTTTCTGGAAGTCCTTGGGCTGCCATTAACTGCTAGGGAGAGACCATCCACACAGCTGCAGGATGAAGACAGAATGAGGTCACCCTGCTCCCTCCAGCAAGCCACCCTGGCGAGTCTCTTGCAGGGAGCTCACTGCTGCAGCGCGCTGCAGGTGCCCAGAGAGCTCCCCTGATCAGCTCTGAGCCTGCACCCTTACCACTGCAGGGGAGGAATAACCTGGCACAGGATCCCTTTATGAGACCCCCCACAATGCCTGAAAAAGCATCAAATTGAAAACAGCAGCTCTGTTCCTGGAAAGAACATCATTTCCCCAGATGTGTTTACCCTAGGTCTGCCCAGTCACACCTGATGTGGCAAGGACTCAGTCTCTTCCACTGGGAGACTGCCCCACAGCCCAGTTTTCTCACCTGCCAGGTAGATTTCAAAAATACATAGTTCATATTCATGAAAAGCATAGAATGAAGCCCCCTCCAGAGCACAGGCTCTGTCAAGGCCTCCCTGGTCTTCTCCACACTACTTCTGCACCTGGGTATCAGAAAGGTATGACTCTGCCAGCAGCAGGACTTCCACTCTGCAAGCATGGCCCAAAAAAACCACATCAACTCTTTTTTTTTTGTTGTTGTTGTTCTTCAGAGCAGAGGCCTCAGGCACTTCCACAAGAGCACTGAAGGAGCAGGAAGGAAGAATGGGACAACTAAATTCAGGGGAGAGTACAAACTGCAGATTCACAACATGAACTGGACTCTGCTAAGAGGAAAACCACAACAGCACTTTCAAACCATGAGGCAGCAAACCACCCTGGCTCTCTCTTCTCTGCTGACTTGAACAAATTTTGGAAGGGGACAAGTCCACAACAGTACGACGTGATCTTTCCTTACATCTGCCTGGCACTTACTGATTTACCACTGCATTGTCAGCACTTGTGGCCATTTGGGCCAGAAGAGAAATGTTAAGAAAACATCTAGGGAAAAAGCTGAGTGGACAAGTGTCCTTAAAGGTACCAGGCAGCCGGCAGCACCTGTGCATGAAAATAACTGTGTGATGGGTCGGAGTTTGTTTACTTGCTCTCATAGACAAGGCAGGAGAAAATTGGACCCTGAAGAGCAACAGAGGCCCTAAATACACAAGCAAATGATTAATAGGGATTAGATCGTCACCCATGAAACCTGTCTGGAGCCACCTGATTGGGGTTATTCAGTCTTTCCTCTCTAAAAAAAAATCTGGTCCAAGATCCTTAAAGAGTTAAGCAGGTGCTCCGGCAGGACTGCAGCAAAGATGGATTAGGAACAATGGCTCTGGTACCCTCTGGAGGGAAACACTGCACAGGTGAAATATACTCTCTGGAGGAGTGGTCTGATAGCACACTGACACCCTCCCCAAGGCCAAGATGTTACCTGTGTGTCCCTGAGGCTCGGGATGTTCACTGAATGCCCTTGCCCATCACTGTACCCATAGCAGCTCACCCTTCCTCAGGCAGAGGCTGAGATTTGGGAAGTGAGGTCTCAGTGCCTCGGGACAGCACTTGGGGCATACAGAAGAAGTTTCAGGCTTCCCCAGGCACTGGGAGAGAGTTGACTTTTAATCTGTCCTCTGCCCTCCAGGGTAGAGACAGGTTTCCAGTCTCTGTATGACCAACAGGCTGCAGGGACTATCCAGGGTCCTGGAGATAAACATGTGGCCTTTTTTTGTTCCCAAGATTGTGTCAACGGAACTTTCCCTGAAGAGCTCTGAAGTGCGACACAAACAGGGCCCAGACATGATGATCCCTCAACCCTTAGAGCTTGTAAGGTGCTGCACTGATCCAGACCAGTCAGGACCTTCCCCACCTCCAGACACTCCAGTAAAGGGGTTCTTGTTACCCCACTGCTCACTTCTGGAACCCTCCAGTAACATGCAAGGAGAGCAGTTTGGAGGAACATCCTCCCCACCATCCTGCTACAGGTAAGGTGAGCCAGTCTGGCTTCAGCAGCTTGCACTACTGAGCTGAATATCCTGGCTGATTTTGCCTCAAGCAAGTGAGAACACAGACAAACTGATCTCTCAGCAGAGCTGCCTCTGGAATATCCCTTTTCCCACAAGTTAATACTTAAACAGAAAGTTATAGGCATTAATGAGCAGATCTTTATTATTTGGGAGAAAAAACCATCAGCTTTCAGTCTAACTACAAACAAGTCATCAAATACCACACAGGTACCTCACCACACAGCCAGAGATTTCTACTTCCTCCCCAGTGATGAACTGGTTGTCTCAGATTTAGCCCACAGCCAGAACAAAATCACCAGGACTCTCTCCAAGCCCCTGCAATGGTCAGGAATAAAGCAAAACCTGGCTGTCAGACAAGCCAATATGAGAACTGACAACCAAGCCAGGCTGAGCAGCGGGGAAACAATTCCATCTCAGCTTCAACTTCATCCATTAGTGCAACCCTAATGGAGGGAGCAAGCAAAGCTCCCACCCAGCATCTGAGTTGTTTATCCATAAAACATTCAACTGGTCTGTCTGGACTGTGGTTTCCAATCTTGTGTTTCCTAAGTGTCGACTCCTCCTTTCCTCCCAGGAAGTCACATTTCTGATGGATTTGTCGCTTGAGGTGTTTTTAAGGAAGTGAAAACAAATGGCAAAAGCCCTGAAGCATAAGACTGGACTTCGTACCTCAGAGCTGCAAGGGCTGCAGGGATACTGGGACATGGCAAACATGATGATATCAGATTTAGGGATCTTAATATCAGAGAGATCAACTGAACCATCCAGCCCAAAGTAAAATGAAGGTGTTTCCATCTGAGTTTTCACCCAGTGTAAGACAGTCCCCCTACATTTATCAAGCAATGAAGGTGGCAGGTGAGGGAAGCACATAGGACAGCTATTGTGGAGGGCACCAAATAAAGCAAGCCCTTGAACCATCACCATCACTTATGCTTCTGCATAAGCCATAAAGCACATGCTCCTTCAGCCTAGTGGTTTCTACTTTCATGGAGGAAAAAAAACAAAAACAAATCCAGCCTTTCTAGACTGTGACTCCACCTAGCATTATTCTGTGCACATCTTCTAGCATGGACACAGCTTGCAGTGGGTGCACTCACTCAGCTGGCTCTGTGGTGGGATTTCTGGTGTCCTTTCAGAGGTGTCAGGTGGGTTTGGAGGATTTTCCAAAGTCACAGCAGCATATCAGAAGAGACAGGAGCAAGTCTGCGGGAGTCACAGAAGTACTCACCATTTGTTGACACTCCACAGGCTGCAGCATTACCTATGATGAATGCCTTTGTGATCTCTTGAAATGAGTTAGTGATTATCCAGCACTCCCAACACAAGGCAGCTCCTCAAGAAAGGATTTGAGAGACTAGAGTAACCAGATGGAATACCTATGTATCTGCTAGGTGAGTTTCTGTCTCTGAGAAACAAATCAGGCTCTTGAAAAAGGAATGATGATTTGAAATCTAGCTCTTTCAAAGCAAGACTGAAAAATACGAGCCCTACCACTGACTCTCCACAAGCTGGAGTCCTAAATCCCCTTTTCCCCTGTGCCCTCCTTTATTTGCCAGATAATAGGCTCAAAAAACCTGTCCAATTTTCCATAACAAATAAGCTGCCTGCAGAGCATCTCCACCAAAACAACCGAGCAGATTCAGTTGTTCACTGCTGGAAGGCACAGTGCTGCCAATTTGCCCACCCTCTTCCCAGGCCAGGCACCAGTTTGACTCACCAAGAACCTCAGTGAAGGCACTGAATAATTTTCCCAGGGTTTGGGAGCCGAGCTGACTCACTGAGGACCTGGATGATGCCCAGAGGTCCCTTCCTACCAATATTACTCCGTGAGACTGCAGCAAGCATGTCAGGGAACCACAAGGAACACAGGGCTGGAAATAAGGCAAGGAAAAGACCTGATCCCTATCACTGGCAGAGAGGAGCTCAGCTGCCTTGTTGGACTGTCCTATGCAGAGCTGCTGCCCTTACACTGCTGACCAAGATGGGGAGCTCATTTTCATGTGCCCCTGACCCAAAGGGCTGATGACAAAAGCTGCTGAAGCAGACAGTGGTGAGCACAACACCCCTCACAGCAGCATGGCTTGAAAGAAGCACATCCTGGCAGAAAAGGCTGCCTAGTTGGTGGTGCTGCCTCCTTCCTAAGACCATTTTGCCAATATAATAGTTTTGCTAGTCTGTTAATGCAACTGCTTCAAAGGTGGCTCAAGAAAAACCATGTAAAGTGAGGTGGGCAGACAAATGAACAGAAGCGAGAGAACGATCTTCTCTTTTTAACCCTTGTTAGACCTTTGGCATGGTTTGTTACACAGCCAGGTCACTTTTCAGACAGAATTGCAGCATTTCAACTGATACATTTCCTTTTAGCAGGATGGTCATGCAAGACCAAGAAGTCCATCTTGAAACTTGGCATAGGCTACAGCCTCATGCAAAATTCACTTACCATGCCGTAATCTGAGGTGAAGAGCACGTTTCCATCGGTACATGAGCCAACAGTGCATGGCTGCAGCTGGTCCTGCTCCCGCAGCCATACCCTGGCACCCTGCAAAAACCAGAAGACCTCCCATTAGAAAGAACTGGAGCCTGTGAGATCTGCACATGGGGTACAAACACCTAAGGAAAGCTGTGGTGTTCAGAGGCTACTTCCAAGCTACAGCTACTTAACATTTTTAAGCAAGTCTACTTACATTTTCAGAGAAACTGGTTTTGATGTTTTTAACATAAGATGAAAGAAAGGAAAAGCAGTTTTAATCAGCTTCGTGTGGAAACCAAGTTAAGGAAACATCAATTTTTATAGAAAGAGTCATGGAAAGATACAAACATAAAATAGTGGGTTTGACTGTCTAAATATTTTCAAACTTAGAACAGCCGGTCATTAAAAGTCATGCTATAATAATAATAATAGAAAATGTAAATAAAGCATGTTTACAATTTCATACGCCCACACATCATTGTAAGGCAAAATGCTTCCAGAAATCATCAGTAACAGCGAAGTAGACTTCACGGAGCTTTGTTTGCCTCTCTTGCAAAAGTTTCCTTGGGTAAATGAGATGACTTGAGTGTTTCTCCAGTGTATATATACACTGATGTATATATGATGGCCCTGATGTATATAGTTTCACACACACTACAAGATCTTAAATTGCTCAGTGTCTCTCAAGACGACCCCGAGCACAAAGGCAGACTTTTGGTAACACGTATGCAGGAATCTGCAGGGCAAGCAGATCTCATTAGCTCACCTACCAAAAAGTGCAGGGGAAGCAGTTTGGCCTC